GCTTGTTTGAGTCAAATTTGAAAATCCTGAAGCCACAATGGAGGTTCTCATAGATGAGCCTAATAAGAACAATTGTCTTCAGAACTTAAACTGGGACAAATAGCTTAATTTTCCTTTAGTTATTCAATTGGAATGATTCCTGAGGGGTTTAGTCGTCTTATTTTTATCATGCTGTACCTCCATCTCATCCATTGCACTTTGTCCAAAATAATGGTTTCAGTTTCAAGTGTTCCCGGTGACCACCTTAGTTTCTTTGAGCCATTTCTGTGTAGTATTTACTGAGGGGGGTTAAGAAAAAAATATTGCCTTTCTGGGGGCCATGGCTCTACAGAAAATTTAGGTGTGTGTCAGACTCTTCACAGAACAGTTCCACAATACAGCCATAAAGATGAGTGCCTCCTTAAGATCCCTCTGGCCATTCATAAATGCACCAAAATATGTATTTCATAAAGTGAAGCCAGTGTTGTGGAAAAATAGGAGGCATGAAGTTTAACTCTGTTGTCCTTGCTCACCATGCATAAAATGTGTGTTGCAAACATCTGTAGCCACTACATCATGAGTCATGGTGCCAGCTTAAGCTTACATCTGTCAACAATTCAACAATTTCAGCTCTGTGACAACCTCCCTTTGTGGCTCAGAGGTGTAACAGCAACAAGTTGACTATAACCCCTCCTTTCTTATTGATCCTTACATAAATCACATTAGGACAAAAGGAAATCATGTGAGAATTATCTAAGAGGTACGCCAAGAGAATATATATTCTGTATACACACACACACACACACACACACACACAAGTGCCATGTGTTGTCATCACTGTATGTTCCCATAAAATGACGAAATGAGTTCTCTGCATTAACCCATCACACCTGAGATACACACGCAGTGGGCAGCTATGTAGGCACCCAGGGAGCAATTAGGGATTGGGTGTCTTGCTCAGTGACACCATGACATGTGGGCATGGCGGGATGGGAAGTCAATCCGCAACTTTCTGGTCCCAAGCCGGCTGCCTTACCTCTACACCATCTTGGCCATCAGATTCTGACAGATCACGAGACTGTAACATCTGTATTACTCTACTTGTCTCTGGCTGTATTGTTACAGCTGATCAGTATCAGAGATCAGGCTATTTTTCAAACCTTGGGGCAGCCTGAACGCAGCGCATGCATATAAAATCAAACATGCCACATGTCGCCCATGCAGCTTGACAACATAAATGTGTCACCTGGTACTGACTTACAGCTCTGGCTTTACCTCCAGGAACAGACTGTATTTAATGTAGATCTCACAGCCTGAGGGCAACCAGGACATTGCTGCTGAGTGTAGAAATAATGTATGTCATATATATACATATACATATATATACATACATACATATACATACATACATATATATACATATATATATATATATACACACATATATACATACATACATACATACACACACACAGTATATAGATCTGTATCTCTGTATATACACAGAGACAGATCTATCTAGATCTAGATAGATAGATCAATACAGATATATAGATAATGTATATAGATCTATATAGATCAGCGTAAATGTATTTCCTGTAGTAATGAGCCAATGCTTCAACACGTGTAGACTGAAGGAAGAACCTGTTGCTGCACCAAATCTTTTCTTCACAGATATTTCACCACGCTAAGAAATCTTGTTTCAGCTAAATGAACTGCACAAATATCACTGCAAAGCAACACATTCATTCACAGCTTGTGGCATTTTCCCCCCTCCCAGCCTCTGATGCTGAAATCCTGCCATTAAGTGTTTGTGTGCATTTGGTTCTGCCTCACAGTGGGACGTGCAGCAGGACTTTTTATCACACTCGCTGACATCTTAAACACACTCCGAGAGAGGTACTGAGCGGGACTATCAGCACCTCTCTGGGGGTTATATAGTGTCCTTCTCACGCTTCAATTCTTGGCCTGTCATCTGATGAATAGAAAACCCAGAGGCACACGAGACATTTGAGGAAGCCATCACATGCGCTGGAAGACTGTCGGCGCTTAAAAACACAATTATTTGTGCTTTCATTTATCCCTTCACAGCACGCTTGGCTGGATTTCTCATAATGCCACAAATTATTTCCTTTTGGCCCCCAAGAGGATCATTATTTATACTCTGGTGTCCTTATGTTTACTCCTGTTTTTTCTTGGTGACGTCCGATATTTCCCACTATCATCTACCGCCCCTCTTTCACATAATCAGTCTGAACACTTAAATCAAGATTACACTAAACCAGATTTAGTACTGCGAGTTTTAAGGCTGTCAGCTTGCATTTAAAATAAAGAGCGTTTGTGAAAGTGAATGAAACTGAAAAATACATGCACCCCATAGGTCATACCAAATATTTTCTCAGAAACTGAGATTAATTAAGTCTAGATCTTTTGAATTGAGGTATGGGGGAAAGATTATGACCAGTCAATATCTTACCTGTGAGCTTTGAACTAATTTGTTTGAATGAACGGAGTTTAGTTCTCACTGAACTGACAAGCTAACGGCTAACTAGTCCAAGCAGGGTGGAAGTGGACCACAGTTCTCAAACAACTTTAATCATAAATTGTATCAATTAGTGTGAACACTGGGGCGGCACAGTGGCGCAGTTGATGAAGCGGTTTCCTCTCAGCGAGAAGGTTGCCGGATCGAATCCTGGCCGGGGGTTTTCCTGGGTGGACTTTGATCACACAGATTAAAAACATGCATGTTAGGCCGATTGGTAACTCTAAATTGTCTCTAGGTGAGAATGAAAGTGAACGATTGTCTCGTTTGTCTATGTGTCCCTATGATGGACTTGAGACCTGTCCAGGGTGTCCCCTGCCTCTCACACAGAGACAGCTGGATATGGGCACCAGTGACCCCCATGACCCGAAAAGGAAGAAGCGGGTAAAAGATGATGAATGCATGGATGTAAACACTCATTTTATAAACCTTCACATTTCATTTAGTTTTTAATTAAACCGTCATTTACTCGTAACTCTACAGATATTAACCATCACAGTAAACTTCAGCAGCTAGCTGTAGCACTTCTGGTGTAATGTTTCTGTCAGAATAACTGTGTAATGCAACAGAGACGAAAGCATAATGATTTACAAACAGCATTTAATTGGACAGCAATGAAATACAGTAGTCCCTCAATATTTGGCGATTCGACTTTCGCGGACTGACTCTTTCACGGGTTTTCCACGACACACGACTGGCTGATTGATGAAAGGTGACAAACCAGAACATTGTGCAGAGGGACGGACTGGCCATCGGGAGCACCGGGACATTTCCTGGTGGCCTGGCCCACTCAGTGATCTCTTTCTGAGGCTGTCTGCCACGGCAGAGCAGAGACACACAACAGGCGGGCGTGCAACCTGTGACAGACAGCCTCAGAAAGAGAAAGGAAGGGCGGGGGTGGGGCCCATCTTTCCCCATCACAGCTGTGGGAGCTTCAGTGAGGAGAATACCGGAGTGAGTGGCATGGATTGTTTATTTAAAATAATCAAATGCGACATGAACCGAGCCTTTGGTCCAGCCCCTCGGTGATCACAGAGCGGGCCAGGCCACCAGGAAATGTCCTGGTGTTCCCGATGGTTAGCCTGCCCCCGGGGCTCAGTAACCGTAGCATCAGTCTGTCTGCTCTCTTTTGCTGTGCTCTTTTAGAGCATTTAGAGCATTTAGAACATTGTTAAGAACATTGCAAGAGTGTGGGAAGGGTTTATAAATCCTTAAAATATATATAAATACTAGAACAAATATAAGGTCCCTACTTTGCGGATTTTCACCCATCGCGGCGGTGTCTGGAACTTAACCCCTGCGATAAGTGAGGAAGTACTGTACTTGAGATAGAACTTGTTTTAATCAATTCAATTATTTTTAAACCATTTCTCCAGACTGAGGTCATTTAAAGAGGAATAGTCAACCGATGGGGCGTTTTTATCGTGTTGCAACTGTTGGCAAAAAGTAAAATGTTTTACATGTTGTATGTAATTGGTACTTAGCACATCTTTGTTTAAAACTGTGAATAAACTGAAACAATCCTGTGGAGGATGAGCCAACTATTTGTCCCTATTTAGTGGATTTTTTTTTGTTTCCCATCAGCCACAATTTAACTTCATTTAAACACCACAGCCCAAATCTGAACATTTTAGCTCCAAAAATCCAACATGGCAGCGCCCATAAACCAGACCCTCAAATGTCCAATATTAATGGTGGACACAGAGACTCCAACACTGAGTTTCTGAAAAACAAACTCAACAGGTGCTGCAAACCCAGCAGAAAATCTGTTTTAAAATAAGCAGAATAATGTAGACATTACTTGTTCATTACCTTTTAAATGAGAAGACTCGTTTAAAACCTAAATCTTAATCAAATTTAGGTATTTTATGTGCGTCAGCTTGCAGAGGCTACACCGTTAAGAAAAGGAAATTGCGAGTGCTCCATATTTCACCCCGCTGTTTACTCTGCAGCATTGCTAATGAAGTAAGAAGATTGCCAAGTGATATTTTTACCTTTTCATCAGAGCTGTATGTAATATGTTCTGTCGTTTTGGTTCAGTAATTTTCTTGTTCCTTTGCTGACAAGAGGAAAAAGCTATTACAAAGTCAAGAGCCTGCTTTGTACAAACCTGCCATCGTGAATGTGTTGCCAACTATATTTTCTTTGTTATCTTGTTTTGCAGATTTATCGCTGCGAGACCTTTCAGGGTGAACGAAGACAACATCTTGGATCCATCGATGATTAAATCATGATGTTTTTTCATTAAGTATTCCTGACTATGACAAATTGCTGCAGTGTCATGCTGTCAAAATATGACATTCAGCCAAGGAATCCGGACAACGTGATCTATGGATTGTTGGCAGAGGCTGTTGCATTTGTAAAATGAAGTGGAAGAGCAGTTTATTCGGCTGGGAAGTCTTTGATTCTCTGCGCTGGATGGATCGGAAAACAAGGGAAGGTGCAGATCTTAATCAATAGATTCACCCGGGAGTTTACAATGGTTCCTGCTGAGAACATCAGCGTCTTCGCTTCTGCAGATTTCTGCACAAACTGCAGCTCCTCCACCCAACCAGAGGTAGACATCGCCAAGGCCGTGATTTTAGGGGTCGTGCTGTTGGTGTTTGTGGTGTTCGGTGTCCTCGGCAACATCCTGGTCATCCTGTCCGTGTTGTTCCATCACCAGTGGCGATCTGTGACTCATTACTTCATCGCCAACTTGGCGGCTGCAGACCTGCTGCTCAGCTCCGCGGTCCTACCCTTCTCTGCCACCTCTGAAGCTCTGGGCAGGTGGGTGTTCGGGCGCTCCTTCTGCAGCGTCTGGGCCGCCCTGGATGTCCTCTGCTGCACTGCCTCCATCCTCAGTCTGTGTGTGATTTCCATTGACCGCTACCTGGCTGTCAGCTACCCTCTGAGGTATCCGGCCATGGCTACGGGCCGACGAGGCCTCACCGCAGTAGCAGCTCTCTGGGGAGTCTCAGCAGTCATATCCGTGGGCCCTTTGTTTGGATGGAAGGAGCCAGACCCTGAAGATGAGAGCGTGTGTCGAATCACAGAGGAGCCGGGCTACGCTTTGTTCTCAGCTTTAGGCTCGTTCTACATACCCCTGGTCATCATCCTGGCCATGTACTGCCGCGTGTATACCGTGGTGAGGCGAGAGACCAAAACGCTCAGGGAGAGCATGAAAGGAGAGGAGGTGGAGATGGAGGGTGTGATGCTAAGGATACACAGAGGGAATTCTGCTCAGGCAGAGAAACAGGAGGGCGAAGAGACAGTGATGAACAAACGGCCCTCGTTTCACCTGCGGAAGCTGCTCAAGTTCTCGGGAGAAGAAAAAGCAGCCAAGACTCTGGGCATCGTAGTCGGGTGCTTCGTTTTGTGCTGGCTCCCTTTTTTTCTGGTTTTACCGATCGGTAGGTACATCATGAAACTTCTGCACCAAACCCAACAAACCCCATTCTTTTAAGTTGAAGAACAACAAATTCTAAATGCACCATCCACCCCTGGGTTAGAAGTGCATCATCCATCCATCCATTTTCTTTACCCGCTTGTTCCATTTTGGGTCACGGGGGTCGCTGGTGCCCATGTCCAGCAATCACTGTGCGAGGGGCGGGGTACACCCTGGACAGGTCGCAAGTCCATCACAGGGACACATAGAGACAAACGAGACAAACAACCATTCACTCTCTCACTCACACCTAGGGACAATTTAGAGTTACCAATCAGCCTAACATGCATGTTTTTGGTCTGTGGGAGGAAACCGGAGTACCCGGAGAAAACCCACGCATGCACGGAGAGAACATGCAAACTCCACCCAGAAAGGCCCCTGGACCGGGGTTTGAACCAGGGACCTGCTCGCTGAGAGGCAGCAGCTCTACCAGTTGCGCCACCGTGCTGCCCAGAAGTGCATCAACAAGAATTTAATTAACTGCCTTTTGTTGAATTATTAAAACTAATTTGATATAGCTGTCTTAGCTAGTTGACAGTAGCAAACATAAACAACAACTAGAGAAACTAGTGCAAATGCATGTTACAGAACTTGTTGAAAAACTGCTGAAATTAGCTAAAAACCTATGCTGAATTTTAGCTGAAAAGGAAGAACAAGCCTAAATTAGCAGAAGAAAGCAAAAAGAACATAATTGCTGAATTAGGCTTAATAAGCAGAAATTAACACAAAAATTAGGAAATTAGCTAAAAATTAGTTGACAGTTATAAATAGCAGAAATAAGCTGAAAATGGCATAAGCTGAAATTATCAGAAAGAAGTTAATTAGGTTGAAAGTAGCAGGTTACCACAAAAAAACTAGAATTTATCTGAAAACAGCTGAAATTCGCTAGAAATGCTAAAAAGGTAGCTTAAAAAGGTAGAACAAGCTTAAATTACCAGAAGAAAGCAGAAACAACACGTTTGCCAATTAGGCTGAAAGAAGCAGAAATCAGCCCAAAAAAGTGGAAATTATCTGAAAAAAGCTGAAATGAGCTAAAACAGCTGAAAAGGTAGCTACAAGCGCAGTAAGAAGCTTAAGTTACCAGAAGGATGTGGAGAGCACATTTTGGCTGAATTAGGCTGAACAAAGTTGAAATTAGTACAACAATGTGGAATTAGCTGAAAAGGCTAAAATTAGCATACAAACAACTAAATAGTAGCTGAAATAGCAGAAACAGCTGAAACTGTCAGAAATAAGCTGAAAGGTGCATAACAAGCTGAAATTAGCAAAAAGAACTTAGAACAAAAATATTTTAGTTAGCAGAAACTGAAAGGAGCACAAAACAGCTGGAAAAACAAATTAGATCAAAGTAGCTAAAAATGTTTAAATTTGCAGAAGGAAGCTGAAAGAAGCTGAAGCAGAACAAAATGTGAAAGGAGCAGTAAAAGGCTGTAAACAGATCTAAAGGTTTGAAGGATGAGTTCAATTGATTTTCTATAAGAAAAATGGCATGAAAGGCTAAATATTTCAAAAAGCTAAAGTTGCATCAATACCAAAAGTCATAGCAGGACTGTTGTGAACGAGCTGAACGTTTTGATTTATGATTTGTTGAAATAGCACAAAAACTGTGGAACAAGACGCCGATAAAACGTACGGAACAAACGTGGATCACAATAGTGTGAATGCTTCATAAACAGTCTCACAATAACTAAAGTCAGTTTTACGGTTTTTGTTCAAATTTGGTGAAGTTGTAGCTAAAAGTCAATCATGGCAAGCGTTACATATTAGACAAGAAATATGCTAAAATATTCTCAATAACGTTTGAAATCATTCCTATTTGTTTAACAGAGCCTTTAACTGATTACCACCTTTAATCATTCTTTTCAGTTTTATCTAAAGAACTCATTGTTCCTTGAAAATACCTAACTTTGTTTGTCGACATGTTTCATTTCATGCTTTAGGACTCGAGAGTCACGCTTCAAAACTGACAGAAAGCCTTTATTTCTAAACAGAAGCATCCTGATGAGCATCAAGATGTTGTACTCTTCTGAACTCAGTGCTCGAACATCACAGTCGGCTTTATTTACAAGAAGAAGAGACTCTATAGATCCAAGCAGAAGGAGTAATTAAGCTCAGTTTTCCGAGCGGGTCAAAGGTCAAACGCAGCTGCCAAGAAAACAGTTTATTATCCGTGATGATTTGTGCAGAAGATGCCGGACACGTCAACCTCGTGCGATGTTTGTGCCTCTGACAAAATAAAATAAATACAACAAATGCACAAAAAACTCTCAAACGCAATGTTTAAAATGTTTATTTTTATTCTAAATACTAATTTCTGAGAATTAAAAAAATAAGAAGGATTATTGTTTTATTAGAAGACAGTGAAATGTCTTCTGTTGCTTCAAAACAGTTCTCACACACACTAAATGAGTTATAAATGATGTGTCAATATTTTATAGAGGCAGTTAAGAGTTCAGTAAAGAAGTATTTTGTTGTTGTAGCTGAACTGTTAAGCTTTATTTGAATTAAATTTGGAAGGAACAGATAAAAGCTGATGAATTGGACTGCAGCTGCTCTCAAGTTGCAGAGTTTCCATTTGAGAGGGTTTTCAATTTTCTTGTCTGAATTGCAAGATTTTTGAACATATTTGAAAAGTTTGCAAGTCATATATTATTTTATTGTACACAAACATGTTGGACGTACAAATTCAGAAAAAAATCCAAGTGATTTCTTTTTTCTTGCAAATACAGCATCTCCAACTGGTCACTGAACGTTCTGCTCAGCTCACAGCTGCGACCAGAAGGCAAATGGCATTCAGGAGGGGGTTCCAATATGTCATTTACCTCGCAGCCTCGCTGAGTTTTGAGCATGTTCGAGAAAAAAGTGTGAGATTTTTCTCAAAATTGAAGAGTGAAGCTCAAGTTCTACCTCAAATGGAGGAGTTCAAGTATCTCAGGGTTTTGTTCATGAGTTAGCACCAGGGCTGCAATTACCGAGGCCTGAATCTTTGCACAATGTGCTTAATTAAAATGTTTTGCTCTGAACCTCCAACAGGACTTTTCTCCTCGACACATCCGACTCCGTAGAAAAAGACATGAAGAAATTCAATTAGGAGCAACCAAACAGAACAAACAAAACTGCAGAATGGGCTTCCGCTGTGGAATGAACCAAACTAATGCTCCCTCGTACAAAAGCTATTATAGATAACAAGCATGAAGCTTAATGGGCTGTAATGCCAGGAGGCATCCACAGTCGCCCCCGACTCCCCAGGCAGACAGCCAGAGAAGGATAGTTGTGCATTTCAATCGCGGCAGACCTTCACGGCTCACAGCTCAGAGCTCAATCATACGCCAGGGCCATGATAGGTCAAGATTTTCAAACCGATTGAAAGACCTGAGAATTCTTGTTTTATGTCGATGTCTTTGGATGAAAAGCCTGTTTCATGAAAAAACCTTGTTGACAAACCTTTCTGTGGAGCTGCAACAACTACGCAGCAGCAATTCTCCAGAGCTGAAGCTCATAGAATACGGTAACTACATCTCATAAGCATCAAACTGTAGAGTTGCTTATAGAAGAAAACTAAAGGTCTGATTTGTCACAATTAAAATGGCTTTTTGGTCATATGTGCTTGCCGTATAATTCACAAGAGATTCACTGTACTGAGCTGAAACCTGCTGTTGCTTTGTTTCTTTAAAATAACTTCCATTTTGTGCAGAAATAACCACACGAATGTGAAATGATTGTAATAATGTGTGGGAACACGAATGGTCATTTCAATAAATCTAAAAAATATTACAGTACATTTAAAGCTATATAGGATATTTTTCTGGTTTCGATTATTGATGCCTTGGGAAGATTCCGTCACAGAAAAAAAAAAAAAATTATACA